TTCAGCGTTCTTATACTACCTTTCATGTAAGTATGTTTTTAAAGACATGATATCTCTAGCTCTGTTTCCTTTGACGAAAAAAGCTGTAATTTATCTTAAATAATTTGCTGTATAAAAATTATTAACTGTTTATCTAATTGTTAGTATCTCCGCCTTTCGGAATCGGGCTATAATATCGCTTTCCATTCCCAAATGATACACTTTAGCAAAGATTAAATGTACTAATTCATATGTTTTCTTGTTTCTCCAGGTGACAAAAAGATTTCAAAAACGGGCCTCTAGTTATGAAAGTGTTTTTTTCCGCGGTAAGTTTTATTCCTACCTTACGCTAAACTATTTATATTTGTGCAAAATTGGTGTATTAAAGACGACTTGTATTTCACAGCATTTTAACACCAGAAAGGTTTTCGACTAACGTTATCACTTCTTTTGATTTAGTTGTTCTTTTGCTGTATACAAATAGGAAACACAAAAGCGGTGGTTGTTTTTATGGATTCTTTTATTCATAATAGGCTGAACCTATTTTCTTAATATTAGTAGTGGGACTAGGATGGATCTGGGATTTCTCATGATACCTATTGTTTGCTTCTTGAATTTGATGTTGTATGTTTCTTTATTGGGGCAATTTTTTTTTAAAAAGTTAAGACTTCAGAACTTCAAGTGAATCGATTCTACAAGTCCGATATCTTGTTAACTTGATCTTTTTTCTTTTGCCTTCAGTTCTGCGGCTCCTGATCCTCTGCGCTCCGACGATCTCCTTTCCAATCCACTCCAGCAACTCGTCGTGCTTTGGCAGGTTCTTCTCGACAATTATGTCCCGATTCAGTGCTGTATTTTATTCTTGACCTGCATGTTATCTGTTGACTGCTGCTAATGTATTTGCTGTGAACTCTGCAATAAAAACTCTCATTTCATTGTCTGCATTGTCCTGTATTTTCGAAGGTGTGAAGGGTTGTCTTGCAGCGTGCGCCACGCACCGCAAGGCGACACCCCATCGCACTGACCTGGAAAAGTGCGAGGACGCCCGCCTTTTTAGATAGTCT